GATTCAAGATTAATGAGTGTGATAAATGTGTTTACATTAAGGACACTCCAAATCATATAGTCATTGTTTGTTTGTATGTTGATGATATGTTAATAATGAGCAAAGACATTGCCGACATACAAGCTACTAAGCGTATGCTTGCTAGTATGTTTGACATGAAAGACTTAGGAGTCGCCGACTTGATTCTAGGAATTAAAATCCAAAGGACTCCTCAAGGCCTAGCTTTGTCACAAACTCATTACGTGAAGTCGGTACTTGAAAAATTCAAACATTTGGAATTTAAAAGTGCAAGAACTCCAATTGACTTGAACCATAATCTTGTAAAGAATAAAGGTGAGAGCACGTCTCAATTGGATTATGCTCGTGTGTTGGGAAGCCTAATGTACATAATGAATTGTACACGTCCTGATATAGCTTATGCGATAAGTAAACTTAGTCGATTCACAAGTAATCCCAACAAGCACCATTGGGTGGCAATGAAACGAGTTTTGGGATACTTAGAATATACCCAAGACTATGCCTTTGCATTACAACAAATATCCTGTGGTTATTGAAGGATATAGTGATGCAAATTGGATCACCGGCTCAACGGAAACAAAATCCACAAGTGGATACGTGTTTACTGTTGGCGGAGGAGCAGTATCATGGAAGTCATCCAAACAGACATGCATAGCTCGCTCTACAATGGAATCAGAGTTTATAGCTTTGGATAAAGCCGGTAAAGAAGCTGAATGGCTCCGGAATTTCTTAGAAGACATTCCATTCTGGCCCAAACCTTTGGCTCCTATTTGCGTACATTGAGATAGTGAGGCTGCATTAGGACGCGCAAGGAGCGTTATGTATAACGGAAAGTCTCGTCACATAAGACGCAGACATAGAACAGTTAGACAACTACTTTCTAGTGGAATTATCACAATTGATTATGTAAAATCAAAGGATAATGTGGCGGATCCGCTTACAAAAGGCCTAACTAGAGAGGGAGTTGAGAAATCATCTAAGGGAATGGGACTATGGCCGAGGACAAGTCATCATGGCGGTAACTCTACCTAGATTTTTGAGGTCCGAGATCTAGGTTCAAGGAGCGCAAATAAAGTTATGCATGACCGATTCAACATTGTCAAATAAAATATTTTAGTCCATTCTCGTGATGAAGACAATGTTCAGTAACAAGGATAAAATGTTAAGACATTTTTTAATGATTACCTAAGTTGGATGTGGTTTTTATCAAATAGTGTAAATCTATAGGATTACACGTTTAGGAATCACCTATGTAAGTGTGAAGTGTAAGCCGCTTCAAGGAGAATTCTGTAAGGCCGATTCTCTACGCACGTATGAGACCAGGCGGTGTTCATGGCTAAAACGAATACAACAATGAGAACCAAAAGACGGTTAAGGGTCGATTGTGTGACATATGGTTATTTAGGTATACACCAAAGTTCGACGGTTCAAAGATATCAAATCTACCGATTGACCGAATATATCCGACATATGTTCACTATGGAAAGTTCAAAAGGAAACCTACTTATCCAGATGCGGTCGATCTTTTCTTGCGAATCACACAGTTTCCATGTATGTTTCTTCTTTATATAGCCATTCCCCATTCATGTGGGGGATTGTTGGACTTTTAAGCCATTGGGCTTTAAAGATGAGTAGTGTGAATTGGGTAATGGTGGGAAATTAAATGGACTGGGTTGGGCTTCGAAAACTGACCCGGTTTATTTGATTAAACTAGTTGACCCAGTTTAATAAGTAACGTTAAAAGAACGTATCTTCCTATCAGATGTCTGTTCACGGTGAACAGACACTATACCTTTTCACAAAGCCAACAATTGCCTATAAATTCAGGCATGGCTTCCATTCTAAAAACTCAGAAATTCAGAAACTACAAAATCACTTTCCCTCTCTGCAAGTTCGTTAATCCAAAAAGTCTTGAGCTTTCTTGTTCCTTGAGAATTGTAAGTGTGATTCTCTCCGCTCTTTGAGTTCGTTGGTATCCTGCTTCTAGTATTGCCACTGTCGCAGGAAGGTTTATTCCGTTTTATCCTGGGAGGATTTAATCCATTACCTTGGCAACTGTGAGGGGGTTAAAATTCCTTATGGACACACAAGCAAATTGTGGACTCGAAATTATTTATTCTATTTCTTCTTCCTCTTGTTTTTCCTTAACAGTGTTGATTTTGATTAATACACGTTGCCTAACGGATCCTCCATATGATATCCTACCAAAATGGTGTTCGGATGAAGCCAATGGTAAGTACAAAGAATGTTCTCACTCATCTGTGATCCTAAAACGCAATCCAATCCTCAACACCTACAGGCAATGCACACTTAGGAACCTTCATCCTATGCTCAATAATTCACCTGATCATATATGGCACAGTCAATAGCGCAAAGTAGTGAAGCAGGGCAAAAGTGCTCTATCATCCACAGTTGCAACAAAAGTTTACTTTCTTCACAAACCTGATGCCACTCCCAACCTCACTAAAATCCCGATACATCTCGGCTAAAATTATAGGCACAATAGTGATATTCTTGCCATGCTCATCATGAAACAGCGCTGTCATTATTGACCCCAAACGATTACTAATACGCCTTTCGTCCAACGGCAATACTAAGGTACCCAAAACAACGAGACTAAGGGCCTCGAGACGAAATTTTTCCCAAGCGG